ACTTAGAGTTTTTCCTGCCGGTTACCCCCCCCCCCCCCCATTGCATACCTCATTTTAGACCCACTCTCATAACTGAGTCCCTGTCCTTCTTTATGAAATGCAGGAAGATCATCACAGCTCCCTGCCTCAGTATTTCCCTCAGCTCATGCTTATGCAAACATCAAAATGCCTTTTGAAGGGTTTCAGTCTGGGAAATGGGTGTTCCTAGGCAGACTTCATTTGCATGCTTAGCACCCTAGGTAACTCCTACATATGATGCTGAGCCATGATTGAAAGACCTGCAATTCAAAGAATAAAGCAGGTGGGCCAGGGACAGTAAGGCTAGGGAGGAAGGAATTAGATGATGCCGGGCATCCTCCAGGCAGGGAATGAGGCGGGCTATATCTTAGAGCAGGGGAAGCCAAACGCCGGCCCTCCAGCTGTGGTGAAACTGTGAGAATCTCGCAATGTCTCATGGGACTTGTTGTTCCACCACAGCTGGAGGGCCAGAGTTTGGCTACCCCTGTCTTAGAGTAAGCCATTTTTGTACAGGAGAGGCACTTTTACAACTTTGCAAGACTGAAGGTAAAGCTGGAGTTCATCTGTAAAGGTTTTTTCCTCATATGGTGCCTGTAATCGCTCTGTCCTAAACTGTGTTTCAGGAGGTCTTTATCTATTCAATTTTTTTTTTTTAGGACAAGACCCTCTTGACTGATAATGGCAGAAAGAAGGAAAAGGACATGGTGACAAAGGAGATTGAGAAGTTTAGGAGCTCCATCCAGATCGTGTGTCGCAGTGCTCTGCCACTCGGGAAAATTATGGATTATATTCAGGAGGACATGGACACAATGCAGAATGAGCTGCAGACGTGGAGGAAGGAAAATGGTGAACACGCAGAGGTTCTCCTAAGAGAGCAGAGGTATTTATAATGGCCTTTTGGCTTTATATTTCAGTCATGCACTATGTGATTTTTTTTTTTTGGTATTTATACAAACAGCAAATTAGGGGGTCTCGGCACTGTGATCGCTAATCACAGTGATCACAGTGCTTTTACAGAGACTGATCCGGCTTGCAGCTCACTGTGTTGTGGAGCTCTGAGCCGGATCAGTGAGTTACAAAAGTAAAACTCACTAGAGTGAAACATTTGAATTCATACAGCACAACACATAACACACTTTTATAATAATAAGCTTTATAAAATGTATGTGACCATGTTATTTTTCATCAGCATCACTGACTCCGCCGTGGAACCTCTCAAGGCTGAACTTGCCGAGCTGGAACAACTTATCAAAGAACAACGGGATCGAATCTGCACAGTGAAAGGGAACATACTACGAAATGAAGAGAAAATCCAGAAGATGGTTCAGAGCATGAGTGGCTCTAGTATAGACTGAACCATGCAGCGGTATACCCATGGTCCATATATCAGTGGCACCAATTACTCTTTTTCTCTAGGTCAAGTACTATAAACCTATTTTTTTCAGTTACTGTTCAGGGTGTGTGTGTGTATTGTTGATGTTCTATGGCAGGCGTGTGCGTTCTGTTCAGGAAGCAGCTTCTGCTTTAGAGAGCCATGCTAGTCCTTGGCTGAGCTTCATAGTGAATCTTCTGCTCTTTCGCTGCAAAGACCATTCTTTTCTTAACAGGACCACTTCTTCTGCAGCGGTTCTTCTAGAGAAACCAGCTATTTTTTGATCCGTGCATATTCTGTGAAGAAATCGTACAAATGCACATTTTGTTTTCATCCGCTATGTTCTGGCCATATATGGTCTAGATTTTAAGTCAACGATTCATGCAGTACTTGCATTGATTAAATATGGTATACATCTCAGTGGAATAGCTGTTGAGCCATGACAAATAGCTATAACATCAGTGAAGAAATTCATGTACCAAGTTGAGAAGCTTGTGTTATTTGAGCTTAAATGGTCAGTTCCATGATATTTTAGTTTTGAGTAGATGTCAATGATTTGAGTCCCCCCCCCACTGACTTCTGATGTCTCTGCTGATTTCTGTTCCCAGCTCCTCCCACCTGCTGCAGACATTTTAAAGGAGTCTCACTCTGGACGGCTTATTTACTTTACATTACAGGGAAAAATGAATCTGTAGAGCTGTCATGAAAAGCTGAGAACTTTTGTAGGGGGATCTTGCTGCGGGAGTCTGTGCAGCCACTCACCAGCCATGTGTAAACGAATATCCGTTGTAAGCTGATTTGTCTGCTGAGGGAATGGCGTGACAAAAATCCATTTGAGCTGCAGGGTTCAGGTTTTGTTTGCTTAATAGTACACAAAAATTATGTAGAGGGCACGTGAGGTCTTTGACTAGTGATCTTTGGACAGCAGTGCACACCTAACTCTGCTTTCTTCACTTGGATAAAAGCCTGAGCACTTTCTAAGCTAAAAGCCATTTTCTGCATTAGGGCCCCAATCTGATGTGACTGTGTCTGGGTCCCACACTGGTAGCAGCCTGTTATAACATCCACACTTCCAGCACATTCCAGGTTTGTTCACATTAAAAGGTCCCATTCAGACTGTGGGTTACATTCACGCAGGCTCCATCAAGGCAGCCTTTTTATTTTGAATGTGTTGGCAGCACACTTAAAGGAATGGGGTGAAATAACACCCCATGCGATGGGTTGTTATTACAATTGAATGGCAGTGTACTGCGGTTTGCATGTTACATTGCACATTTTACTGTACGTTACCACACCGCGAAGATGTCAATGTGCCCTCAGTGCTTTCTCTTGCATTTTCCAGCCCATACAAAAATGAGGCATGAGAATATCCATTATTGACTTTAGGGGCCAATTTCCCGCAGTGCACCATCCTTTGACTGGCATTTTCCCATTCATATCCACAGAATAGGGTCCTTCATGATGCATGTAAATCACATTGTAAAACAAATGTGCCTGGTGTGAACAAGCCTTCAGTTCTGCTCTCCAGTCTGACATTTCATGATCACCTGTCCATTCCAGATTTCTATACAAACTGCTGCTAACAGAAGACTTTGTTTTGCACAGGTGAGTGATCACTACCAGGATGTATGGACACAGATTTTATAAATTGTATTGTGTAAAAATTATTTATATACATGTTAATCACATGACAAAATTTGTGTGAACATTTTGTAAAACTTGAAGCGTTACATTCTATCAGATTATGTTTTAATTTTTGCTATAAAATCTATCCAGACGACTTCTGTATTTGTGTATACTTTCATGTTGTATTGTTTCTTTTGTTTTACCGTTGCTCATCTGCGCCATGTGATTATTATGGGTGTAGATGTGAACAACTCAATGTGGGTCTCTGGTTCACAATAGACCTGATCCTGAGCTTTTCTGAACCTGAAAAGAGATCCTCCCGAACCCAAAAGGAAGCTTCTTCCGTGTTGCCCAATCAGCTGCTGATGGGTAATTTCCCGTCCCCAGCTTGACATATGCAAAGGGGTAGGACGCAGTGACTAGTAACAAGCATAGAGATCTGGATTTTTGGATGTTTTCTCATTTCTACTTTGTAAGCAATGGCAAGCAACAAATGAAATCATGGTTACCTGCCACTGACGTACAGGAAACACTGCAGCTATGCTGACATCACAAAGTCCACTCAATTTATTTTAAAGTTTAATGTTTTACCATTGACAGGCTTTAAGGTAAACCTGTCATGAAAGAAAGGAGAGCCTTCCAAAGCTATTCAAGAGCCATTTTGGGATTGCATTAGGGCCATGGCCCACTGGCAATACTGCCACCAAAGACACTTCACCAGTAGCAGAATCACTAAAATTCAACTTCCATTATTACTAGTGGAAGTCAATCTTTCACCACCCAAAACACTGCTGACACTCGGTGTGAGTGAAGAACAACATTTCACAGAGCAGGATAATGTTATATTTTAACAAACTTTTTTCCCAGGCAAGGTGTCACCATCAGCTGAATTGCCAGTGTGATCCTCTGTAATCTCCCACCAGTAGAGTGCTCCTAAAATTTAGGCTCCGCTGATGTAGCTCAGCAAAGACTAGACCTGCTGCACTTTTGTATAGACAGAAATTCTGTACGGAGATAAATCTAAAGGCTGCCATTGCTAAGTAGGGATGAGCTGAGGTTCAGACCAAACCTGGTCCAAGCCTGAGCACCTCTGAGCGCGGAAGTGCCGTGGGCCCTTCTACCCAGTAAGCTGCAGGCCTGGCATTATCTGCCCCACAGCTGCATGTAAACAAAGGGGCAGGATGCTTGTGGTGACCTCATTTACCAAATATAGATGTGATCATATAAGGTAAATTACATCACTGCATCCTTCCCCTTTAGTTATGTCAATTTGGGGCGGGGGATTCCCCATCAGCAGGTGATTGGTCGGCACTTCCATGTTCGGGAGAAGCTCCTTCTGGCTTCGGAGGACCTCCAGTTCGGATTGGGTTAAGTCCAAATCTTAGATCATCATTCCAGCTGAGCTCTGCATATTGATCTTCTGGTTTTAACATTTTGAAAAACTGACCAGGAACAAGCATGTGGCTTTGAAGTCGGATCTCTTGAGGTTTAGAGTACTGGAGTCCATGAACCCGTGGGGTGCCCAGGTTACCGGCATGTTCAGAACGAATGGTCCGTAAAGGCAGCCTACCCACACCTTCTCTCATTACAGGTTTCCTTTGAAGAGCATTTTCACCTTTGCAGTTGATTTTGTGAAACTACAACTTACAGGGCTATTCACAAAAGGTGAAGAGTTTGGAGAAGGCCGGAGAAGTGAACAATCTAGGACAACATAGCTGATTAGGAAAAATTCTCCAATTCAGCTCACTTTCCAGTTCAGCTATTCTGGCCTAGATTGTTCACTTCTCCTGTCTTCTCCTTCACTGCCACCAATTCAGCTCCTGAACAGCTCTATGATTCTCACACACTGAACTAAATGATATTCCATTAGGAGCCATTATAGTCCTGATACATGTTCTCCGTTCATAAGCCCTGATGAAGAGGGTATTTTGTATGAGCCCCCAAAATGTTTTGGCTAGATCTATACTGTTCCCTCAACCCTACATAGAATGAAGATGGATCTGGACCATGAAACAGAGTGTGGTGCTTCAATTCCCAATCCACAATATGACACTAATGAAGCTCAGGGGAGAGCTATCATCACAAGCTTTGTTCCTACATCCCGCAGCCAGAAAAAGCCCCCCTTGTTCTGATATCGGGGGGGAGTTCAAGTTAAAAATAATATATGCTTTAGCTCAGGCCCCCTGCCTGTAGGATTTTTTAAAATGTATTTATTAACCCTTGCAGTGGAGCTACCCTCACACAGGAAGAGTTAAGTGCTCATTTGTGTAGGTTAAAAAAAAAAAAAAATTATACTAACCTGAAGCTCCGAGTTGGCGTCTTCCAGCGCCCCCTCCTCTGCAGCAGTCTAAGGTCCCATAAATCATCACATCTATACACAGTGAAGGGAATTTATCAAAACTGGAGCAGTTGCCCAGGGCAACCAATCAGCTTCTCTCTTCAGTCTGTTCAGTTAAGATTTGAAAATGAAAGTGAGAAGCTGATTGGTTGCCATGCACATCTGCTCCAGATTTTTTCTGCTCCAGTTTTGATAAACCCCCCTCAGTGTATAGACTTGAGGACGCTGAGGAAGATTCCATTGCTGATGTGGAGGAGGAGGGAGGGCTGTGACAGCTGGCCAGCTCAGAGCTTAGGGTGAGTATAACTTAGACACACACAAGCATTTAACTCTTGCAATGTGGGATTAGCCCCACTGCAAGGGATAATAAAACGTTTTCCTGGAGTTCTTCTTGCACAAAGGTGTTTTTCTCTTTGGGGAGAGGGGCCCCTAAACATTTTGCTATGGGGCCCCTCGTGGAAGAATAAATAAGATTTTGAAGATGGGGTTTAGATCTGACATTTCCAGTATCACAAACCTGTTTCCTCCGTTTTACTATCAGCACACATCACACATAACGGTGATTAAGCAGTATTGAAAGAGACACTACTATCAGTATGGGCGGAATGACAGCAGCCGCCTATTGGTCAAACGTCACCAACCGGCCTGTCACATGACACAGCGTTCGCTACCTATCCCCGGTTAATGACGTCGTTGATCATCTGTTTGACTGACACAAGCAACGTCCAATCAGCTACGGCAAGAGCCGAGACAGCACTGGCACACCCACCGGGAAGAGTGTGATTACAGACACATCCCCGGGGTGGATTCCGGATGGAGGAGGACTCTGATGGGACAGGCGGGGGTATTAGAGACACCCCTAGAGTAGGTAAGAGCGCCTGCAGTGTGCATGTCCCCGCAGACTTCCTGTGCACGCCTCACGCTGCTAATCATGGGGACCCCACAGGTGTAACCAAAGAACCCAGTGCCCCATCCATCTGTATCTGAGGGCTCTGCTATTTCAAGTCCGGACATTTCATGAAATGAAGTCTGTTATATTCTTTATACATTAAAATTATTCATATTTATTAAACAGATCAGAGACTTTGTCACCGAGAGCTCTGGGAATGGTCAATGGGTGCTGTTATCTGTATTATATACCAGCATGTGTTAGGGATGTGCCGTGTGATCTGAGTGCACCAGAGCCTGCGCAAAACTGTCAGTGACTCCCCTCCTCCCTATCAGCTTAGACCGGGGCATTCCCAACCCCCAGCTACACCTAACAAGGAGGCGGGGAATGCCCCGGCCGCAACTGATTTAGTGGGGTGTTTGTGTGGCCACTGATGCTATAACTCCAGCTCGCATGCTCTGGCACCACACGCCTTTGCTATCTTATGATGGGAGTGTACATTGCACTGCGCTGGCACCGTAGGCAGTGTGCACAAATTGCTAGGAGGTAAAGGAGTTTTGCTGACACACTGATCCTGGCACATCGCACTGTTTATGTTGCTTTTTGTTTTACATTTAGAACTTTTCCGCCCCAAAGCAAGACAAGACAATCTGCCTTGTCACGTATGGACACAGCTCACACCACTGCATTGCTGCGGTGTGTGCTGAAGAAAAGTACTGCATGCAGTACTTTGTTTCTTGGCAGCGGAATGCAGTGTGGTAAACCGCCCGCATCCCACGGTGCCCATAGAACTTAATGAAATGTCACTTCTGACTAGACATGGGCGATTAGTTTCAGACATTTTTTTTCGGAGATTCGGATGTATCCGAATTTCCAAATGACGAATGGTGGTGGGAGACATCAGGCGGACTGACAGGGTAATCTGTCATCGGAACCGTGAGCGTCGAACAGTGTGCTGCCTGCCGGGGGCTCGTGTTCGACACATTGCGGAACGAATTGACAGATTACTAGATGGGGTTGGGCACGACCCCGCTGACTTGATGGACATGTGTCTTTATTCAACCTCAAATACTATGTAAAAAAACAAATCCGAAATTTCGGACGCAATTCATTAGCGGTAGTCTGTACAAATGTGCATTGATTGGGCAAATTTTCGTTGCAGCAAAGTGACATTAAAAAAAAATATATATATATTTTTTTTATATGCAGTTTGCAGAAGAGAAAAAAAAAGCGTAAGGTTCCCCCCCAATTGATACCATAAATAAAAAAGTGCGTGGGGTTCCCCCCAAATCCATACCAGGCCCTTTAGGTCTGGTAGGAATTTTAAGGTTGGAACCCCACCCCCAAAAGATGGGGAGAAAAAAATGTGGGCTCCCCCCTAAAATTCCTACCAGACCCTTGATCCTAGCTGAGGCAGGGCAGGAAAGGGTGGGGGGGATAATCGAGTGCCCCCCCCACGTCTTACCAGGCCACGTGCCCTCGGCATTGGGAGGGTGTCCCCATGCCGATGGGGACATGGGCCTGTTCCCCACAACCCTGACCCGGTGGTTGTGGGGGTTTGCGGGCAGGAGGGCTTATTTGCATTGGGGAACCACTTTAAGGGAGCACCCAGATGCCGCCCCCCCCCCTTGTGAATGAGTAAGGGGTACTTGTATCCCTACCCATTCACTAAAGGGTTAAAATTCAAAGTAAACAAGCAACACTTTTAGAAAAAATCCTTTAATTGAAAAAAACAAAAAACAGTCGATTTTTGACTATTCCTTTCATTTAGGAAAAATGGCTCCATCGATGTAATCCAGCGTCAATCATGAAGCACATGGCCTGGTGAGGGGGGGGAGCAGCGCTCGATCGCCGCCCCCCTTTCCTGCCCTGCCGGGCCTGTGCTCAGATCAAGGGACTGGTATCAATTGGGGGGAACCTCACGCTTTTTTTTTTTTTTCTCTTCTGCAGACTGTAAAAAAAAAAAAAATTTTTTTAATGTCACTTTGCTGCAATGAAAATGTGTCCAACAAACGAACATTCGTACAGATTACCGCTAACGAATTTCATCCGAATCCCAAAACGAATTGACTTTCGGACCCAAATCCCAAAAAACTAAATAACGCAAAATCGGAATGAAAACAGAACAAAATGAATTTTTTGCCTGTGCGCATGTCTACTTCTGACATTTCAATAAAGTTATTGACTACATAGCTGCATTCAGCTTTAGGGGTAACCTACTTTCTCATGTTTTTGTAAATCCCATTTCTTCTAACGTATAACCACTTGAAGACAAATGTAGCTGACACACCCCACAGAGATGACATTTATTGTAGTATATATAAACATTTATGAAAAACTTTTAGAAATATACCAAAACACTTTAAGAAGCATTGAGTCCATAGAAAGCTGACTGAGGATATATCTGCATCCCCGCCATTGATGACATCTTACAGGTACATGCTGGGTTTTCATTGTGATAACAGTCTGATGTGTATATAGTTTGGTAGATTAGCCATCTTGGTTGATTTGGCCATCAAATGACCTGTGTGTGAAGGCTCCGACGGGGGCAACCATTTCCCAACCCGTGTTACACTCTTAGGCCTGGTTCACACCTGGGCGTTTTACAGCGCGTTCGTACACGCTGTAAATCGCTCAACCTGTGAAAACCAATGATTGCCTATGGGCATGGTTCCCACCTGGGCGTTTTACAGCGCATAGGAACGTGCTGCAAAACGCCCTACGCCCAAAGAAGTACAGGAGCTTCTTTGTGGCGTTTTGCCGCGCGTTTCCATTGGTATTCCCGAGTGTGGATCGGGGTTAACAAAGCGGTAACCCCCGAGCCACACTCGGGAATGCAGCGTACAGGTCTTACCTTGTCTGCGATCCCCGCTGTGTCTTCCGGCGGCTGCTGACTTCCGGGTTCCGTCCCTTGCGAGCAGCCGCGTCGCAGGGGGGCGGAGCCGGTGGGAAGTTTAAAAGTGAAACAAAACAAAAAAAATATACCGTATATACTCGAGTATAAGCCGAGATTTTCAGCCCATTTTTTTGGCTGAAAAGTGCCCCCCTCGGCTTATACTCGAGTCAGCGCCAGGTGTCTTCTTACTTACCTCGCTGAGCGTCGCGTCACTGCTGCTCCGGTGTGCGGCGCTCCGAGCGGGGTCATCTGGCAGTCTCCGGGTCCTAATTTAGGTGCAGTGCAGACAATACATTTACAATTATACTAACATGAATGGATTAAATGATCTGTATGTAGCCATATACTATGGATCATTTAACCCATTCATGTTAGCAGAGGATCATTGTAAATGTATTGTTGCAGGCACTCTATATGTACATGTACTATATACTACATATAGAGTGCACTGAACAATAGATTTACAATTATCCTCTGCTAATATGAATGGGTTAAATGATCCGTAGTACATGATATGTAGCCCTGTACCCCCTTTTCCACTTACAGAGCTAGGTTATTTTTCTTTTAAATAAATATTAATGTAATTTTATTGGTATCTATCTACCAGTAGCTGCCTCATTTCCCACCCTCGGCTTATATTCGGGTCAATACTTTTTCCCAGTTTTTTTTGGTAAAATTAGGTACCTCGGCTTATATTCGGGACGGCTTATACTCGAGTATATACGGTATATATATTTTTTTTTTTTAAATAGAGAAAATAAAGGGGAAAAAAATCATACCGCCAGTGAAACGAGCTGAAAAACGAGCATAAAAATACGCTCAGGTGTGAACCCAGTCTTATGGTGTGCACTGAAAACCTGAGAATGGTAACTTCTATCAGAGCGCCTCAGGTTAACAGAATTCTCATTCTGCAAACTCCTAATGGAGAGAACCTCTGGTAGATTTGTAGATAAAAGTGTAATGTATCTGAAGTGGTACTGTCCATTTGTAACAGATGTTTCCCCACTTTTTTAGTCAGATTTGAGAAAACGCCACTATATAAGTGTTTGTTTATCTTATGCAGTGTGAATGGGAACATGTAACAAATTATTAAGTAGGTCTTATCCCAATTTGGCTGCAAAAATGAAATACACTTTAAATGTGTTGTTTGGAAACCTTTCTCTTAAGAAGGCCTCTAGTATATATTATATATACTTATTGCTAGTTATAGAGTTACTATTCACCGTAAAATGGCTAGTTCCAGTGTTGGGCACCAAGTGTAATGTTAGAAGCCCAGTAGGGTCTGTTTCCTATGTGTATTGTGGCACATGTGTAATGACAAGTGCAGAATCTCTGCCCTGGGGCTGGCAGTACACCACAGGGTATTATTCTGTGCTACCCAATATGTTAATAACCGACAGAACATATGGCTGGTAGCTGGAAGATAATATCTGCAAGCTGCACAGTTATAAAACCAAAATGAAACGTAATGCATATGGGTCACAGATTGCACATGAGCCTACAGAGGGACCATTGCAGTAACTTGTAAAATATAATCCCCCTTATTAATTCTAGTTTTATTTGCATGCATTCCTGGGTGCTTTTTGTTTGAGGAGGAAAGATTGTATGATTACTCTGTTATCAAGTCTGTTCATTATTTAGGCATTGCAACTCTTTGGCTTTTTGCAGGACGCAACTTGAAAGCCTGGCTGCAGGACCAGTACTGTGACCATGAGCTGGAGCATTGTCAGGACACGCTGCTACACAATGCTGCTTGTGTTGGGGATATTGATACACTGAGGACACTATTTCAGGAGGAGAGGTTTCTAAGGTATGTCTGAGACAGTGTGCACAAGTAAAATGAGCTGCCAGGGGGATTATACACACTGACAGCGTGGTTCCTCCCTGTAAGACTGGGACTTTCTCAGTTTGATGTACAAATCAGTGTTAGTGGAGCCTCACCTGTATACACCTGTACAGTGTATAAAGGTGCCCATACACTGCTCGATTCTCGTACAAGAATCGTGGGAAATCCCGCGATCGTACGAGAATCGAACAGTGTGAACGAAGACGTGCGACCGTTTCTAATGTACGGTCGCACGTCTTTTGTCTAAGGAGCATGTTAGAAAATCAGCCGAGAATCGTACGATTTTCGGCTGGTTAGAACGGTGCTCGGGAGACAAATGCCGAACGGGCCGGTGTGCGCACGCGCACACTGCCCGTTCAGCATTGCGGTCATCGGAAGCCCGCCCCTCAAGGGGGCGGGCTCGCGGTGATCGAGAGTGCGATCTGCCTGTCCAAGATGGGCAGATCGTACGTTTTTTTAATCACTTTACAACCATCGCAAGACTAAAGTCTTGCGATGGTTGTACAGTGTATGGCCACCTTAAGAGGTGTGCAGTATGTTTTACTTGAACAGTGTGCTTTTCAATCACTCATTAAGGGACACAAGGTGAAGTAATTTTGAGACTCTGCTCCTGCCTGCAGGAGATTGGACACTGGCAACCAAACCTTTAAGGCGGCCTAGTATAATCCCTCTCACTCTCGGCATGCTCCAGTTTTTGCTAACGTCTTAGGAGAATGGACTCCTCTGAGAGTCATGTTTGCTGACTCATGGTACATGAGGAGTCTGCTAACAAAACTCCTAAATTTAAAGCGATACTAAACTCAGAAATTAAATAATAAAATAACCTCTATTATATAAATATTAGGGATGCACCGAAATTTCAGCCGCCAAAACATATCGGCCAAAAATGGCACTTTTGCAAAATGCCAAAAGTGCAATTTTTTGGCCGAAATGGTGGTGCATCATTGGTTTCTCTCTTTCTCTCCTCCCATTTGACCGCCCCTCATTTAAACCTTTAGGCTTAAGGACAAGGATCCATCTTCCCCTGTTGAGATGCTCTCCACTAGATCAGTTAATGCTTCATAGGCGTTTCAGCATCAGACATCTGTTTGCAAGGCTGCCACCTGGTTTTCTGTTCACATGATGCTTGTTAGGTTTTATCAGGTCTCAGGCCTCAACTGGAAGGGAATATTGCTCTAAAAAAGTATTTTTATTGTCCACTAAGAGACACTGGATCAGTGGTAATTATAAGACAGTTGGGTTATACTGCTGCCTACAGGAAGAATTGGACACTGGCAAAAAAAAAGCCATGGGCCAGCAAGCTAGCAAACAGTAGATATATGAAAAAACGAGGGTTTAATAACACTTTCAGCGTAGGGTCCTTCAGGAAGCTCTTTGAGCTGCAGGCAGCCCGTAGTTTTAGTACCGTATATACTCGAGTATAAGCCGTCCCGAATATAAGCCGAGGTACCTAATTTTACCACAAAAAACTGGAAAAAGTATTGACCCGAATATAAGCCGAGGCTACATATCATGTACTACGGATCATTTAACCCATTCACATTAGCAGAGGATAATTGTAAATCTATCGTTCAGTGCACTCTATATGTAGTATATAGACTGCCAGATGACCCCGCTCGGAGCGCCGCACACCGGAGCAGCAGTGACGCGACGCTCGGCGAGGTAAGTAAGAAGACACCTGACGCTGACTCGAGTATAAGCCGAGGGGGGCACTTTTCAGCCAAAAAAATGGGCTGAAAATCTCGGCTTATACTCGAGTATATACTGTATGTTGTTTTGGTGGGTTTGTTAGGATTTTTGTTTGCTGTGTTGCCCCAACCTCAGTTGAACTGCTTTTGGATGAGCCAATTGTCTTAGATTTACTCTTCATAAACTCTCTTCATAAACGATAAAGAAAATGGCATTTTTGTACTTACCATAAAAGAAATCTTTTGAAATTCATTAGTGGACACAGGTCCTACCTAATACTGCTTTTCTAAAAATGGAAGGTGAGTGTGTACGTGGGGGGGGGTTGTTATACTTGGCTGGCTAATGTCTTTTTTGTTTGGCAGTGTCCAGAACAGATGTAAAAATTGTTCTGGCCCATAAGGAGTATACAGGTGCAGGAGCTGGAGTGTTTATGGCAGAGTGCATAATGATTACATCTAATAATTTTGCACTCAACTGCACTCATGAATTAAATCTAACAAATAAAAAATAGACTTAATTGCATTTTTAAACAGCTTTTGTTTGTTGGATTTCTGTTTGAATTGTTTGTTTTGTTTTTGTTTTTTTATTACATAGTTGTCTTCTACGGAGAGGTTTCTTTTTAAATGACTGTCTGACAAGTGTCTTCTGCTCCCCTTCCTACTCCCACAGACGTATAAATGAGAAGTCAGTATGGTGTAGCGGATGGCTCCCCTGTTCTCCTTTACGCATTGCAGCAACAGCCGGCCATGCAGATTGTGTCTCTCTCCTGATCCATCATGGGGCAGAGTTGGAACTAGTGGATGTAAAAGGGCAAACGCCTTTATTTGTAGCCACAGAAAATGGACACTTGGAATGTGTGCAAGTCCTTCTGAAAGCTGGAGCAGACCCTAACGGCAGTCCACACAATCGGAGTTCCCCCGTATATCATGCAGCTCGCATGGGCAGAGCTGATATATTAGAAGAGCTCATCAGGTGAGAGGATGAATGAACACAGTCTATGATATTGTATGGCTATCCTGTGTGATAAGGAAGTGAGGGTGTTATCAGATTGGATTGTTGGGTAGAGGAAGACATGGCTTGAGAATTCCATATTGGCATTCACGCTTTCTCTTAATAGAAGTTCAATCACATGCAGCATATGTACTGCAGCTGGACAGCTTTTGGATCCATACAACATATTGGTAAATTGTGGGGGGTCTTTAGGATTGCACAGAAGTATATAACAGTGAAAAGCTGGTCATACACTGTTCTTTTTTTGTTCAACCGCACGCTGAAAAAACAGATTAGAACAGAGTTATACCTTCTGTTTCTTTTGGTTCAGGTATTCTGACAGCGGCAACCACCTGCCGCTGTCAGAATACCCAAACAGAGCTGGCAGCTCATTGGCTGCCCACTCTGTTCGTTCAAAGATTTTCCAATTGGCTCCTTCTATCTGCTGATTGCCGAAAGGGTGCCGAGAGCAGCTTTAGGTGTGTGATGTGTGAGGGCAGTTTTTATATAGAGGCTCTGTGGTGCCTCTCAGGACACACAGCAAAGAACTTGGTGGAAAGGGACAATTAACAATGTGCCCTGACAGAACTCTAATTGCAGGGAATCAGGGCCAGCTAGTGGTGGGAAAACTATAAGGACATGTTCTGTGACAGTGGACTCTCATTTTTTTATGAATTAAAAACCTATTTAAATATACATAAACAGTCATAAAACTTTTATATTTGGTTCTGACATTCAGTTGTTGCACATAGCTCCTCATGTAGCTCAATTCCTGCAGCTAGAAAGGGGTTCCCTGAAATGACTCTAAATCTAAGAATGCAAGGAGCTGTGTTCATAGGTTACAGCCTTACCTATACACTGGAGCATGAGAGGGAGTCTGGGAAAGGAGAAACATCTTGTATCATTAAACAGGATTCTACCACATAGAATGAGCAGGATCTATAAAACGTACAAAATGAAGAAAGCAAATACAGACACAGTAAGCGGAGCCAGGAAGCTATGTGATGGATTAAGGGGAATAAGTACTTCCACTTTACACTGAAATAACATGCTGGTAAAACAGTGTTTAATGCAGGAAATTGAGCAAAGATGAAATATACATTGACAGAAGTAAATGAAGAGGATATGACATTTGTGTAAATAGAATAATGTGCATCAACCATAATGAAGAGGATACAAACATTAGTGGAAACAGAATATTATGCAGGAAAAGGAATAAAGAGGTTAATGGTTGTCAGTGGGGAACAACTGAATCAGGACAGTAACCTGTATCATGTGATCCCCTTAATTCTTCAATGGTGTGAATATTGAAGTGATTATCTGATGTGATTGAGGTGTTTTGTAGACGCATCAATTGTGTCTGCGTGCTACAGTAATTCCAGTGTGGTAAAGTCCTTCCATACATGATGGTCATTGTGATGAATTATCTGTGACATAAGGCATAGGAAATGTTCCCTAACGTAGGGCCGATGTCAATAGGCTTTTTTTCCCACTTAAACACATTTGTATTGTCTATGGCCGCTTGTGAATTCTCAATGATCTCAGAAGCATCCAAAACTGATGCCATTGACTCAAGCACTAAGGCAGTCTACGCAGGCTTTTAATGTCCTAATGAGGACAGATTCACCAGGCAAGAAATAAGAAAGACTCCGCAACAGGGATGGCAATAAAAGTCAGCAATAAAAAGCTGACAGGGGTACTAGTCTTCCCATACTAAAAGCAAATAAAGCATTTCTTTTCTGTTTTGCTTTTGGACATTTACCCTCACTTCCTGTCTGGTGAAAAGATTTCCACTGGGACACTATTTTCCACTGGGGTACTATTTTTCAGTGCACACCACTGTGTTCCACCACAATGCAGTGGTGTGTACTGTGCCCATGCGTGACAAGGCAAATTGCCTTGACTTGCCTTGCCTTGGGGCTGCGCCGGACCAACGCATCTGGTGTGAAATTACCCTAAAAGTCCCAGATAGCTGTACAAACTCATCAGGGGTCCAGGAGGTAACACTGAGCATAGGGAAGAATGTGTTCAATAACATCCTCATGAAGTATATTCTGTATTTGAGGGGACTCTTATAGAGGACGGGTATGTTTAGAGGTAATTTGGACATGTGAATTCTGACAGAGCGGGAGTCCAAACTTGGTCATGTGATACAAGGTGAACTATAGCCTTCCAAGAACGGTTTATATTTTTTCTTCCCTATTTCCAGATACGGTGCAGATGTGGACGTTGATCACCAGCTGTCCTGTGGTTTGGAGTCTTCCCCTCGATGTCTGACATCATTGTCATGCACACCATTGTATATTAGTGCAGCGTATGACAGTTTGCCTTGCTTCCGTCTCCTGCTTCAGGCTGGTGCCAACCCTGACTATAACAGCTGTAGTATGGTATGTGAGGCAAACTTTTCACGAGCATCCCCATCCTGTCTGTTGGAGGCAGTTCTCCGCCATGGATGTGATCAACCATTTGTTCAGCTACTTATTGACTACGGGGCAAATCTTTATCTTGTACGCAAGGAACCGAGTGTTGTGGAAAACTCCAGAAGGAAAGTAAACCCAGAATCCCTGAAACTCTTCAAGGAAGCAAGATGTAAGTCCTGATACGTACGTACATGTGCGTGCGTGCGTGTGTGTGTGTTTGAGGAGGGGTATGCTGGCATCTAAAAAGCATGGTGGGGAAGCCAGACACTCAGTTGTTCTTCTAGTTATGGAGGTTTTAGGGTCCTTTAGAAGGATTATGCTTCAAGGATATGTAAACCTTAATAATGAACTCTTATTTGCCCCCTTTTAGTCTCCTAACGATACCATTGTTCTAAGGAACACCTCCCCCTTCGTTATGGAGATGAGGAGGGGGAGTGGTTGCTCTGTAGTCCTAAGCCACTTACTGTCCAGGACGATAATTCTGCTCCTCTGAATATATAGTACGGTGAGTGACGTTGTCATCCTAGGACAGGAAACAAAAAAAAGTCTAAAGAAAACGCAGCTGCCACATGTAAGGACTGCATCAGATCATGTGTTTGTTCATGGATTTAGATGCACTATAAGAGTTGTAGATACCGTGGCTACACCAGCGGGTAGTGGGTACCACAATTAGGTGCGAGCCTCAGCAGTCATTCAGCACCTCAGTATATGCCTATATAGTAGTGTAAGGGCAAACATAGCAGGATTCACATGCATGTTGAAGCACAGATGCGTGGGATTTTTGGCAATCCAGACATAAAAGTGTGGAAAGTGATGCACACAATTCACCTGCCCAGCTAACCCTGATGGTTCTAAAACAATTTTTATTGATTATTGACCCAAAAAAAAAAGATTGTTTCCAATCACTTTATTACACCATTTGTGTGCCATTCTGTAAATAGATGTTTTCCAAACCTAAGTCTCTGAGGTGTAGGGACTGACTGAATGAGCAAATATCTTCAAACTCTGTATTTTCAATTTATATTCAACTTTCATTATACTATATGGTTTATATATACTGGAGCTTCTTTCTATACTTGTAAATGGCTTACTTATGCTAGCTCTACAAATCTGCCGCCTCCAATCTCTTCCTTCTGTACGCACGCACACACTTTATAGCAGTTCCTCTACAACTACTCTGGTTCCTTTTCCTATGGAAATTTCTTATCCCTGTGTCTGAATATCTATCAGACATCACATTTCCAGCTGAAATTCGAACAAAAAGTACTCCCACAATAAATCCACCCTGCATGTTTTGGCACTTAGAGGAGAACTATGAGGTGAGTGCTTTTCACTCACCTCATAGTTCTAGCCGACCTGTGACAATGAGACTGTCACAGGTCAGCTCAGTAGATCGGGAAGTAAGCAAACACATACTGGCTTTCGCTCACTTCTCAATCCTGTCACGGCTCTCTGCTGACTGGCGGAACGGACGGGGGAGGGGGCGGGTACAGCTGGCTCTGCCTCTAGATAGGCAGAGCCAGCTGTCAGTCACGCAGCTGGGCGGATCCAGACATAATTGTCGGGATCCGCTCCGGCTGCGGCGTCTCAGTATACCGCGAGCTGTAGCTCGCGGTATACTGAGCCTAGGGTGACGGGAGGACGCTAGTTTGTGTCCTCCCGTTACCCTAAGGAGAACTAACGGGGAAAGCCCTAACCCCATAGTTCTCCTTTAAGTGTCTTCCTCGGGGGAGTGAATGTGACTTAGTGCTCACTCATACACATAATATGACCGCCGGGCACATGGGCTGCCTTTATTTCTACCCTCCAAGGTGCCTCAGTGTTATGAAGTCGCTGTGTCATCACGCATTTGCATTCTTCTTCCTTTACACCCAGCTGGTCCATCATCTTCTCTTGGACAGCACCATCTTTATTAGGGTGTGAATAGCCTTACAATAAATCCATCTTTTTTCCTGTTATGTTTTTTTGTTATAACAGATATAATAGTATCTATGAAGGTGGCTAAGCTTAACATAGAAGTGATTAAAAATACTACTTAAACAAGCAACAATGGATAAGAGATAGTAGTTGGATATTGATGTCATCGGTACTATTCTTTTACGTATTTAATTGTATAAAGAAATTGTATATAATATGAAATAAATAAAAATATATTCTTGAAAAAAAAATAAATCCATCTTTTACAGAAGTCTGTTTATCTTCTTTAATCAACCAGGTACTTTTTTTTGTATGTATATAAAAATATATCCTCCTGCCACAGTCATACATCGTGATTGGGAAATATTTACATGTTCTTTTTATTTGAATACAACTATATATAAAAATAATTCTCAATTTGAATCTTCACCTGCAACAAAGACTCTTTTATAGATCTATTTAAAGTTATTTATTACATCAGTAAATGTTGTTGTTTTTTTCTCTCTAAATACAAGCAGTGTTAAGTATCTGACTCTGACCTGGTATCAGCCACTTGCTGTCCCTGTACAGCCGAGCTAGAGTGTGAGAGGAAGAAGTCAATCAGTTCATGTTCAGACAAGAATCATGCTGATAGGAAGAGAAGCACAGTGGCATAGAGATAAGCTCATCACTGTGCTGCTGCTGCTGCTGCTGCTCCTTCTTTCACGTACCAGTCACAGGCCAGGACAGGGCAGGGCCAGGATGACCCAGGGTCAGAGGAAGTGGGTTGACTGATGTTCACCATCAGCTTGTAGCAGAAATAATATTGTGGGGAGAATCGCTGGTTTGAAGGTGAATATCACAGCTGATTTTGTTATTGTATCTTCTCATGGGCTATTCATTTTTTTCTGACGTTTGACTTTAAATACCAACATTTGTAAATATCCTAATAATACCTTTACATAAAGAAGGCCAATTTTAGGAGATAATGAAGAAACTGCCACCTGTAATATTGATGCCGTCTATAAGGTTAACCACATACCTCAGGCTCTATTTAGTTGTTCAAACTTTCCTGTGCATAGAATATTACCAGTAGCTTATATGTAATGAATATTAGTAAGTTTGTTTTAGACATAGTGGTCCTTTCAAGAGTAACAGCATTTTCAGAAAGACTCCTTACCCTCCCATTTTACTCCCCCTGCTGAATACTGGGTTCTGTCATGTTTTTTTACCTGCGGCCGGCCCATCCTCCTTGGATCATTCTCCGGGACACATAAGGCTTCTACTGCACACGCAGGGGCAGAGGATGGGCCAGCTGCAGTTAAACATTGAGGTGGAACAGATAGCAAGCAAGTCTGAATTTATGATCTGGGTGTAAAGCTGAAGCACTAACAATGTTCACTCTTATTCAGGTTGTACACAGACCCTGTCAAGTTTATGTCGTATTGCTGTGCGGAGGGCGCTTGGAAAACATAGACTGTCCTGTATTAATAGCCTCCCTGTTCCATCCCGTGTTGTGCACTACCTTCTCCATGAGGACTGATGTTATCGCTCACCACATATTCCTGCAACATTGACTCTGTTATATGGAAATATCTTTTTTTTAATCTATATATTATTTGCTACATGTTAATATGGAGCTTGGTATACAAAACAAGTTGGACATCAATAATCATGTTGTAAAGGTACAGAAATCACATGCTTTTTGTTATTTGAAATAAAACAAAATATAAACATTATGTAAACTGTAAACAAATGTTTTGTGTGGCTGCAAACAGTTCATGCTTCAAGAATTGACCAATAAACATGTTTACCTCTCCATGGCCCTGGGTGTCATCTTGTTGGCGTGGCTGGGCAAAAGGATCTATTATACAAGTATGTATGGACTAAACTGATTTACAATGAAAGTCTTGAGCAGAGGGTAATCGTCACAGGTCTATGGACCTCTAGCTTCATATGTTGCAGTTAGCCTGTATACTGGAAGAACTTATTAACCAACCCCTTCCAGTCGCTAACAAGTAGGACCTCAGTGAAAGTCCAATGTAATGCTATAGTTTTCCATGCATTAAAAAAAAAAGGAATTTGCTGCTCCAAAATTTGTCACAAAAGATGCATAGAAGACACCACACCGGGCTAAATAAACTGGGAATTGCAAAGTTGTGCGAGATAAATTCAGTAACCTGTGACCAGAAGGGCCATATCAGAAGAAGTTTCCCATTTTACATCTTACATTTGACATGTTTAAATGGGTTTTTTTTATCCTTAAAAGAAGAACCTGGATTGCAAATTTTTTTTTTTTCAACCCATTTTTTTTAGTGTAATAATTGTAGTGGGCCTTGCCACCCTTCCTAAGCAATTCAACCAGTCAGGCCCTTCCATGCATGGTGTGCTTTACACACTCCATTATTTCCCATGGAATGTCTGTACACTTTCTGGTCCACATGTACATCCACCACCACCTTGACTTCACAGATTTACATAGTATTTGGGGTTGAATAAAGACATAGGTCCATCAAGTCCAACCCATAGGTCTGCGCATCATCTCTTTCTTAGGAGTACCTGTACCCCTGTATATTACGGTCTCTCGGGAAATCATCCAAGAGTATCTTGAACAATTCCACACTCCTGGCTGAAATCACTGCCGATGGCAGTGAGTTCCAGACCCTAACCGCTCTTACCGTGACGAAACCCCTTCACCCCCTGTGCTGGAATTTGTTTTCCACCAATTTTAGGTGGTGTCCTCTAGTTTTTGTAACGGAGTTAATCTTAAAGAGTTTGTTGCGAATGTTGCTGTCGCCATTGAACATCTTGTACATGAAAATCATATCCCCCCTTAATCTCCTTACATCCAACGTGAACATGTTTAAATTTATTAGCCTCGTCTCATAGCTCTGGTCCTCCATTCCCCTAATTAGTTTGGTTGCCCTCCGCTGGACCCTCTCCAGATCAAGGACATCTTTTCTTAATACTGGTGACCAAAACTGGACCACGTACTCCAGGTGAGGTCAAACCAATGCTCTATAAAGTGAGAATGTCCATACACGCTGGACTCTATTAATTTCAATTCAACGTTTGTACACCTCCTGGGCTCTATTCCTTTCAGTATAACGTCCATAAACCACCTGACTTCATTTGTGGTAGTCTACAGCAGTTTCATAGAGTTGAATGAAGGCTATATGAAGAAACTCTGATTCCAATCAAGACACACAGCAAAGATTGTGGCGGAAAGGACACAACTATGTGCACTAACGGAACATTTTCCAATGAGTGAAAAAACTATTTAAACATTCAAGCTGGCCATACACCTTACAATTATCTGCAGATTTTCTGTGGTCAGATGGAAAAGGTTCAACAGATTCCTCCATCTACAACTGTGTGGATGGAGTAATCTCCTCATGGGCCAATCTGTTGCACTTTTTCCATCTGACCACAGAAAATCTGCAGATAATTGTAAGGTGTATGGGCACCTTTAGACAAACAGTGCTGCAAGCACTATTTTTGCAGATCACACTGGACCGGAATGCAGGCATTAATGTGCCTGTGTTCCAGGTGTGGGCGATCGCACTGTGGGCAGGGGGCATGGCTGTGGCGCCATTGACTTCAATACAAACACACACTCCCCTCCCGCCCCTGTATGCAGGGAGTCGGCCGGCTTGCATTTCAGTGCATTTCAGAGGCCCCGGCGTACTGTCCTCCGCGGTGCTCGTGTGGCCGATGTTACACATGGGGACAGGTGTCCCCGCCCCTTTCCATCTGCGGCGTCTGACTCATTCAGCCAGCGGCCGCACAAGCACCAGAGGAGCATAGCCACAGGCAGTCCCTTTTGCACCTGGGGCCCCCCCAGCAGATGTGCAACGTCACCCAGCGCCCTGGCTCCAGGATTTTTATTTTAATATTTCTTTTACTGTTGGGGGGGGGATGGTCTTCGGGGAAATATTAGGGGTCTAAACAGCCCCCTGATATTTCCCATTTAAAATAGAAATACAAATTGATGACACAAAGTCCTCAATCTGTTTTTCTGCTGCCTCTGTTCTAAATGAATGCAAAGCACAGAGGCTTCCATTCATTCAGAACTATTTACTATCATCCAGTTTCTGAATGGGGAAGAGCCTCTGTACAATGCTACTCCCCATTGTGAAAGTCATGAATGAACAGGAAGTGATGCAAATCACTTCCTGTTCATTCATAACTGGGGACACATAGTACTAACACTGGAGTGATCAGCTGATCGCTCCAGTGTTTGTCCTGCACAGAGGATCAAACATATCACTGATATGCACCAATCCTGCGCTGGGAGGAGAGGACATTGCGAACTACCAGTGATCACTACGCGACCTAATGGGCACCCCTGTCCTAGATTGTTCACTTCTCCCGCCTTCTCCAAACTCTTCACCCTTTTGTGAATAACCCTGTTAGTTTTTGCACATAGCTCCTCATCTCGCTCAAACCTTGCATCTAGAAATGGGTCCACCTTTCTCTGAAATAACCCTAAATCTGAAAATGCAAGGAATGGTGTGTATAGGTTGCAGCCCCACCTACACATTGGAGCACTAGTGAAAATGGAACAGACGTTATATATGTGCTGTGTGACCTGTTGGACCTGGAGTCATTTGCATCCACAGCAGTTTCTCCCTGGGTCTGGGAAAGGGGAAAAATCTTGTGTCATTAAACAGGATTCTACCAAATAGAATGAGTAGGATCAATATAACAGACAAAATGAAGAAAGGAAATACAGACACAGTAACGGGAGCCAGGAAGCTATGTGATGGATTAAGGGGAATTAGTACTTCCACTTTACACTGAAATTACACGCTGGTGTTTAATGCAGGAAATTGAGCAAAGATGAAACATACATTGACAGAAATAAATGAAGAGGATATGACATTTGTGTAAATAGAATAATGTGCATCAACCATAATGAAGAGGATACAAACATTAGTGGAAACAGAATATTATGCAGGAAAGGAATAAAGAGGTTAATGGTTGTCAGTGGGGAATAACTGGATGAAGACAACTATCTCAATGATCAAGATTCTGGAGAAAAATATGTCATCTCCTTCATTATTCAATACTGTGCTAGAAACATAAAGTAGAATCCGACTGGCACCTGAGGATGAAAGCAAGCAAAGGTTTTTCCTGTAGAGTTCTTAGGTTGTTAGGTAGTATGTCCTACTGCATTAGTCTCCTGGTTTGTCTTCAAAAAGGATGGGATGTTAGAGACGTGGCTCGGGTGTGGGCACTATGCTGTACATCTTCTGGCATTGTCCTACCCTAACTAAATTCTGGCTTGAGGCGAGAAACATTGTTAACCAATTGGTGGCTCCGGAGCTGAGCCCTGAGGTGTTCTTACTGCACATGACCAGTTTATCACGGTACCAATATAAATCATCCATCTCTATCCATCTGCTCAACGCCGCAAAGGTGTGTATCCCAGCACTATGAAAATCAGACCATGTTTGACTATCTAAGGCAGTGGTGGCAAACCTTGGCACTCCAGCTGTGCCAAAACTACAAATCCCAAGATGCATCTGCCTCTGGGAGTTATGTCTGTGGCTGTCAGAGCCTTGCAATGCCTCATGGGACTTGTAGTTCCAAAACAGCTGGAGTGCCAAGGTCCGCCATCACTGGTCTAAGGTCAACGAGATCTATCTCTTGGAAAATCTTACAGCCACTGTCCACAATACAGAGGAGCTTTTCTGCAACACCTGGAACTTTATTTCAGAACTTCAAGGAGAGAGGTTTAGGGCTTAGGACATCCATGAGGGAAAAATAGACAGAACATAACTGCAGATTCAACAGTCCCTTTCAGTAATCCACAGTTCACGATCAATAGGAGCACACGCTGACACTGAGTATTTGAGCAACAGCTGAAGAGGGATAGGCATGAGATATTAAGTAGGAAAGACACCAGACTTGCCCCTGAGGTCCATTCCATTTCAGGAACCTCTAGCAACCATCAGTTTCCCTGGTTCTCCTCCTCAATCAGTATTAGGCCTCCTCCGGACCTGAGGCCTAGCGAAGCATATCCCAAACTTGAGCATTCCCATCTGGGGGCAGGCTGGAACTAGACTAGAACTAGCACATGGCCATTCCCCTGAGCATATATCCACTTCTCCAGCATGCACCACTGACCATGAAACCACAAGTTATTGGCTGGTGAGCCACAAAAACTCATAATGCTGCCCCATTGGCTGTCCTACACTGCAGAAGGGTCACACCCCACTCAGGCAGGCACAATCAATGTAAGATCACCTGGAATTAACCAGATAAATGCCAACTATAATTCAGCCAGACTGTCTACAGCTACACATGGTTATCACCATTTCTATTATTTGGATTGCTAGTTCTACCAACTCATCATTTATACCCGAGGGAAGTATTTATCTCTCATCTGCCATGGATACAGCTGCCTGCTTTAAACAGGAGCTTGGTGCTGCTTCATTCATCTATTCAGCAAATATAGGACTTCCGTAAGACGAGTTCTGTATTTGAAGATCCAGTAGAGTGCGTTTGAGCACCTAAATGCAGATGAGTTAATCTAACTCAACAAGTTGA